CAGGACCTGTGCCTGATTAATATCTACGGACCACAGTCAAAATTGGACAGGAAATGCCTCCTCACAAAGATCAAGCCCTTCCTTTTTCCTTTGGTGGTGACTTTAACACCAGAATTAGGCCTGAAGACAGGAGAGGCTCCATAGACAGGCTGGGTTATGATGGTGTTTTTCTTAGAGGTATGGTTAGACAGGCACATTAAGCACTGCCCTGGCAGCACGGGCTTCACATTTCAGAGAGGGAATAGAGGAGGACAGGTTTTTCTTTAAAGGATAACTCTGCTTTCTCAGCTCCTCAGTTGAAGGCGGTGGAGTTCTCTGACCACTGTATGCTGTCTGTGACTCTGAATGCCTTGGACACTCCACCCAGGGGAAGGGGTATTTGGAAACTGAATTCAGCTCTCCTGGAAGATGTAGAGGTAAGACAATCCTTTGAGGATTTTTTTCAGGCACAGGTTTCTATCCTGGACTTTTGCAGCAGTAAGTCAGAGTGGTGGGAGCTTGTAAAACAAAGGGCGATTGGACTTTTCAAGGCCTCAAGTAAGAAGAAGCAGCTTGGTATGTATATTGCCTACCAGCATTTGCGGAGGAAGCTTGATCGTCTTGTCTCGTATGGAGGAGATCCAGGGGAGATCTCTGAAGTGAAGCTTCTTCTGAGGAAGTGTCAATATGACCGGCATGCCTCCTTGATTCTGGAGAGGGATTATGGGAAATATCACTCCCCTCATCCTTACCAGAACTGTAAGCAAGGCATAGCAGTTAAGATGGTCATTAGCCTGAAAGAGTACGGGTTCCCTGGTGAAGTCCAGATCAGGGATCTTGGAGATCTTCGGGTCACACTATGCAGACCTTCTGGGAAGAAAGAACCTTAGCTGGGACAAGATGGAAAGCTTTCTGGATTCTACTCCAAGATTGGGAAATGGTACATTTATTTTGATGAATTTGACAGAACCAATTTCAGCGGATGAGGTAGTTCATGCTATAGACAAGCTGGCTACCAAAAAATTGCCTGGGCCATATGGATTGACAGCTGAATTTTACAAGTGTTTTAAGTCCATTCTGGCTCCCTTTTTAGCGGAGTTTTTTAACAGCTGTCTAGAAGAGGGTTCACTCCATGAGGCAATCCGCTGATTCTCAAAAGGTAAAGACCCCTCAATGATTGAGAACTGGAGCCCCATCAGTCTTCTCAATGTTGATAGAAAGATCTTGGCAAAGATTTTTCTTTGGTGCTTGTCGTCAATAGCAGGTGATTTGTTGTCCAGCCATCAGCACTGTTCGGTCCAAGGTAGAAGTACCTTTTCAGCAGTTTTGGCTTTGGAGCGATGCAGGGCTGCTGGATGGAGAAAGTACGTGCTGGCATTGGATCAGGCAAAAGCTTTTGATAGAGTGAATCATGAATATCTGTGGTTGCTAGTTGGTAGATACGGGTTGCAAGGGAGGTTTATAGATTGGCTGAAGACATTATATAAAGGGGCTGAGAGCTTCCCACCTGTTAATGGTTGGGTTGGACAGCCTTTTGAGGTTGGCTCTGGTGTGCGCCAGGGATGTCCTTTGAGCCCCCTGCTATATGCTTTCACAATCAACCCCTTTGTAAGAAGGCTATAGGGTGCATCATTGTGCGAGGTGCCTCTGGGCATTGCTGGTGCACCGCTTTTGAAGGTTGCGGCTTATGCCGATGATGTGTCTGTTATTACCTCTGGGACTGAGGAGGCGCAGGAGGTGGTCTCTGTGATAGAGCAGTACACGGAGGCTTCTGGCTCTAAAGTCAACCATGAAAAGAGTGAAGTTTTCTGGATGGGTGAGGAGGATGAAAGCTTCAAACTTCCGGATTCATTCCCAGATCCCAAGCAGGAAATTAAAGTGTTGGGCATCAAATTTGGTCCTGGTGACTATGGCCATTGAAATTGGGAAAGCAGGTTGGTAGATGCCAATGACAGTAACACACTTAGTCTCCACACTGGATGGCTGAGCAACTGGGCCACCAATGGACAGCAGCATTGTCAATCTGGGGGTGGGGAGTGTTAGATGTAGTAGAGATTTAGATGGACTTGATAAAAAAAATGTAAGCTTCACAAGCAGTTACAGCAACAGATTTTGTTTGCTTTTGTGATAAAGATTCTACATAAATCAATGAAAGCTGTTCATTGTAAGCACTCTTGTCAGTGGCAAATGGCTTGAATCAACAGGGCCAGGGCAAGGGATGGGCAGGAGAGGAAGCTGCCCGGGGTGCAGTGGGGATATGAGGGGTTTTTGGTAGAAGGAAGGATTTGGGGGGGGGGGGGGGGGGGGTTGTATTAGGAAGACGGATTTGCGCTAGTAAGGGAGATCTGGGGGAGATTTGTGCTAGGAGCCAAATTGGAGGGAGGATTAGTGCTAGGAGGGATTTGGGGGGGATTTTTGCTGGGAGAGGGGAATTTGGGGGGGGGGGGGGGTTCATGCTAAGAGGGAACATTTGAGGCATATAGGAATTGTTCTAGAAGGGGGGGGGATTTGGGGAGGGAAAGGATTTAAGCTGGGAGGGGCAATTTGTACTGGAAAAGGGGGAATTTGTGTTTTGGGGAGAATTTTGGCTCGCAAAAGACATTTTGCTTAGGGACTAAGTGTGAACATTAGTGCTCACATTTTTTTGGAGGGGAGGGAGGGAGGGATTTTTGCTGATACATAATGCTTATACATTTTGAGGGGGGAACCGCTTGCATATTCACCCTGGGCCCTTGATGGCCTTGTTCTGGCACTGTGCCTCAACCCTGTAACTACCACTTTTGCTATACAGCTTGGTCTGTTAAAGGAAGTTAAAAAAAAAACAGATTTCACTGGCTGGATCTCCGGGGAAAAATAAAGGGAAAAAAACCTTAAAAAGGAAACTAATGCAGCCATCACATCTAGGGATTGGTAAGCACCAATATACACTGCTCAAAAAAGATGAAAGGAAGACTTTGAAAACCCATCAGATCTCAATGGGGGAGGATATCTATACTGATATGGACGGGGTGATGGGTGAGGAACATAAGGATGCCCCATCGTTTGATGGAAATGAAAATGATTGACCTACAGAGGACTGAATTCAAAGACACCCTGAAAATCAAAGTGAAGAAATGATGCAGCAGGCGAGTCCATTTTGCTGAAATTTCATTGCAGCAACTCAGAATGGTCCTCAGCAGTTTGGCCCCCACGTGCTTGTATGCATGCCTGACAACGTTGGGGGAGGCTCCTAATGAGACCACGGATGGTGTCCTGGGGGATTTCCTCCCAGATCTAGACCAGGGCATCACTGAGCTCCAGGACAGTCTGAGGTACATCCTGGTGGCGTCGGAAGGACTGAAACATGACATTCCAGAGGTGTTCTATTGGATTTAGGTCAGGCGAGCGTGGGAGCCATTCAATGGTATCAATTCCTTCATCCTCCAGGAACTGCCTGCATACTCTCACCACATGAGGCCGGGCATTGTCCTGCACCAGGAGGAACCCAGGGACCGACTGCACCAGGAGGAACCCAGGACCCACTGCACCAGCGTAGGGTCTGAGAATGGGTCCAAGGATTTCATCCCGATACCTAATGGCAGTCAGGGTGCCATTGTCTAACCTGTAGAGGTCTGTGTGTCCCTCCATGGATATGCCTCCCCAGACCATCACTGACCCACCACTAAAACGGTCATGGTGAACGATGTTACAGGCAGCAGAACATTCTCCACGTCTTCTCCAGACTCTTTCACGTCTGTCACATGTGCTCAGGGTGAACCTGCTCTTATCTGTAAAAAGCACAGGGCGCCAGTGGTGGACCTGCTGATTCTGGGGTTCAATGGCAAATGCCAGTCGAGCTCTATGGTGCCGGGCAGTGAGCACAGGGCCTACTAGAGGACGTCGGGCCTTCAGGCCACCCTCATGAAGTCTATTTCTGATTGTTTTGTCAGAGACATTCACACCAGTGGCCTGCTGGAGGTCATTTTGTAGGGCTCTGGCAGTGCCCATCCTGTTCCTCCTTGCACAAAGGAGCAGATACCAGTCCTGCTGATGGGTTAAGGACCTTCTACGGCCCGTCCAGCTCTCCTAGAGTAACTGCCTGTCTCCTGGAATCTTCTCCATGCTCTTGAGACTGTGCTGGAAGACACAGCAAACCTTCTGGCAATGCCACGTAATGATGTGCTATCCTGGAGTAGTTGGACTGCCTGTGCCTCTGTAGGGTCCAGGTATGGCCTCATGCTACCAGTAGTGACACTGACCCTAGCCAAATGTAAAACTAGTGAAAAACAGTCAGAAAAGATGAGTAGGGAAAAAAATGTCAGTGGCTTCCACCTGTAAAACCATTCCTGTTTTGGGGGTCATCTCATTGTTGCCCATCTAGTGCAACTATTGTTAACAACCCCCTCTGCTACTTACCTGACCAGATCAATATCCCAGGAGTTTCATTGACTTGATGCTAGACTCTGATTAAAAAGTGATCCTTTCATTTTTTTGAGCAGTGTATTACATTTCTGTGTTTGGGTACATTTTTGTCTTTTGGTTTTCAGCACAGAACATTCTCCCTCAATATTTCATACTGAAATTAGTTACAAGCCTGTGTTTAGGACATGATTGATTTCCTGTGTGCTACAGATGTATAAATCTTGTTTTCTTGCACAACGTTTCTCAATATTTGTCTCTAATCGATTCTGCAGGATCCTGGCCTTTCCCTGTTTTCCCATGGTCTTGGTGCAGATATGGAAATATAAAACACCGTCTCCTGGTCCCTGGTGGATCAAGGTATTTGCTGAAAGGTTTAATATGGATGTTTTTCAGCAACAGACATTTCTCTCCTACTATATATTATTAGGTAGTTGCTGGATATACATTTCCACCCACACACTGCAGGTAACATTGTTGTAGCAGATCATATTTAACTGCATTTGAAATTCAATCCATAACATCTGGCATTCAGGATAAATCACCTTCATCTACTAATATGTGCTTTTATTTGCTTTGTCCTGACATGCTTTAAAGTGTTCCTAAAACCCCCCCCCGGGCCCTGCATTCACTATATCCGGTCTCCCCGGACCCCGCATTCACTATATTTGGTCTCCCCGGACCCCGCATTCACTATATCCTGCTCTCCCCGGACCCCGCATTCACTATATCCGCTCTCCCTGGACCCTGCATTCACTATATCCGCTCTCTCCCCGGACCCTGCATTCACTATATCCGCTCTCCCCGGACCCTGCATTCACTATATTCCGGTCTCCCGGACCCCGCAATTTCACTATAATATCCGGTCTCCCCGGACCCCGCCATTCACTATATCCGGTCTCCCCCGGACCCCGCATTCACTATATCCGCTCTCCACGGACCCTGCATTCACTATATCTGGTCTCCCCGGACCCCGCATTCACTATATCCGGTCTCCCGGACCCCGCATTCACTATATCCGCTCTCCCCGGACCCCGCATTCACTATATCCGGTCTCCCCGGACCCGCATTCACTATATCCGGTCTCCCCGGACCCCGCATTCACTATATTTGGTCTCCCCAGACCCTGCATTCACTATATCCACTCTCCCCGGACCCTGCATTCACTATATCTGGTCTCCCCAGGACCCCTGCATAACACTATATCTGGTCTCCCTAGACCCGGCATTCCCTATATCTGGTCTCCCCGGACCCCGCATTCACTATATCCGCTCTCCCCGAACCCGGCATTCACTATATCTGGTTTTCCCGGACCCTGCATTCACTATATCTGGTCTCCCCAGACCCGGCATTCCCTATATCTGGTCTCCCCGGACCCCGCATTCACTATATCTGCTCTTCCCGGACCCGGCATTCACTATATCTGGTCTTCCCTGGACCCTGCATTCACTATATCCGGCCTCCCCGGACCCTTCATTCACTATATCCGCTCTCCACCCCGGATACCCTGCATTCACTATATCCGCTCTCCCCGCACCCTGCATTCACTATATCCACTCTTCCCGGACCCTGCATTCACTATATCTGGTCTTCTCCCGGACCCTGCATTCACGATATCCGCTCTCCCCAGGAGTCCCCCGCATTTACTATATCCTGTTTCCCCAGACCCTGCATTCACTATATCCACTCTCCCCGGACCCTGCATTCACTATATCTGGTCTCCGCGGACTCTGCATTCACTATATCCAGTCTCCCAGGACCCTGCATTCACTATATCTGGACTCCCTGGACCCTGCATTCTCTATATCCACTTTCCCCGGACCCTGCATTCACTATATATGGTCTCCCTGGACACTGCATTCACTATATCTACTCTCCCCAGACCCTGCATTCACTATGTATGGTCTCCCTGGACCCTGCATTCACTAAATCTGGTCTCATCAGACCCTGCATTCACTAAAAACTGGTCTCCCTGCACCCTGCATTCACTATATCTGGTCTCCCCGGACCTTGCATTCACTAGATCCGGTCATCCCGGACCCTGCATTCACTATATATGGTCTTCGTGGACACTGCATTCACTATATCTGGTCTCCTCAGACCCTGCATTCACTATAACTGGTCTCCCCCCGGACCCTGCATTCACTATATCTGGTCTCAACCCCGGACCCTGCATTCACTATATCTGGTCACTCCCCGGGACCCTGCATTCACTATATCCGGTCTCCCCGGACCCTGCATTCACTATATCCGGTCTCCCCGGACCCCGCATTCACTATATCCGGTCTCCCCGGACCCCGCATTCACTATATCCGCTCTCTCCCCGGACCCCGCATTTCACTATATCCGGTCTCCCCGGACCCCGCATTCACTATATCCGGTCTCCCCCGGACCCCGCATTCACTATATCCGGTCTCCCCGGACCCTGCATTCACTATATCTGGTCTCCCCGGACGCCCCGCATTCACTGTATCCGCTCTCCGTCTCCCCGAACCCGGCATTCACTATATCTGGTTTTCCCGGACCCGGCATTCCCTATATCTGGTCTCCCCGGACCCCCGCATTCACTATATCTGCTCTCCCCGGACCCGGCATTCACTATATCTGGTCTCCCTGGACCCCTGCATTTCAATATATCTGCTCTCCCCGGGACCTGGCATTCACTATATCCGGCCTCCCCGGACCCTTCATTCACTATATCCGCTCTCCCCGGACCCTGCATTCACTATATCCGCTCTCCCCGCACCCTGCATTCACTATATCTGGTTTTCCCCAGACCCGCATTTTACTATATCCTGTTTCCCCAGACCCTGCATTCACTATATACTACTCTCCCCCAGACCCTGCATTCACTATATATGGTCTCCCTGGACCCTGCATTCACTATATCTGGTCTCCTCAGACCCTGCATTCACTAAAACTGGTCTCCCTGGACCCTGCATTCACTATATCTGGTCTCCCCGGACCTTGCATTCACTAGATCCGGTCATCCCCGGACCCTGCATTCACTATATATGGTCTTCGTGGACACTGCATTCACTATATCTGGTCTCCACAGACCTGGCATTCACTATATCTGGTCTCCTCAGGACCCTGCATTCACTATAACTGGTCTCCCCCCGGACCCTGCATTCACTATATCTGTTCTCCACGGACCCTGCATTCACTATATCTGCTCTCCACGGACCCTGCAATCACTATATCTGCTCTCCCGGACCCTGCATTCACTATATCTGGTCTCCCCGGACCTTGCATTCACTATATCTGGGCACCCCGGACCCTGCATTCACTATATCTGGGCACCCCGGACCCTGCATTCACTATATCTGGTCTCCCCGAACCCTGCATTCACTATATCTGGTCTCTCCCCGAACCCTGCATTCACTATATCTGGTCTCCCCAGACCCTGCATGCACTATATCTGGTCACCCCGGACCCTGCATTCACTATATCTGGTCTCCCTGGACCCTGCATTCTCTATATCCACTCTCCCCCGGACCCTGCATTCACTATATCTGGTCTCCCCAGACCTTGCATTCACTATATCTGGGCACCCCCGGGACCTGCATTCACTATCTCTGGTCTCCCCGAACCCTGCATTCACTATATCTGGTCCTCCCTGGACCCTGCATTCACTATATCTGGTCTCCCCGAACCCTGCATTCACTATATCCTCTCTCCCCGGCCCTGCATTCACTATATCCTCTCTCCCCGGACCCTGCATTCACTATATCCCGCTCTCCCCGAACCCTGCGTTCACTATATCTGGTCTCCCTGGACCCTGCATTCACTATATCCTCTCTCCCCGGACCCTGCATTCACTATATCTGCTCTCCCGGGACCCTGCATTCACTATATCCGCTCTCCCCGAACCCTGCATTCACTATATCTTGCTCTCCCCGGACCCTGCATTCACTATATCTGGTCTCCCCGAACCCTGCATTCACTATATCTGCTCTCCCCGGACCCTGCATTCACTATATCCGCTCTCCCCGAACCCTGCATTCAATATATATCCGCTCTCCCCAGACCCCTGCAGCAAAATTGCGTTTAGGATTAGATTTTACCGGCGTTTCAAACACCAAACACTTTGTAAACGCGGTTAACCGCGTTTATAAAGCGTCCTTTTTGCGTTTAGAAGCGTTTTTTTTGACTGGTCCCATATCCAGGGCACAAGCACTAAGCGGTACCGCATAGCATTTTAAAAAAAAACAAAAAACAAAACATTTTGAATCCACTAAAAAAAGACTACTAACAAATACCGCATGAGTTATTTTATCAAGTTTGGATAAAATTCAAAAACATTAACAATAACATATAAAGCCATTTATAACTCCGCCCCCAATTACATCACCAATCTTGTCTCCAAATATCACCCAAACAGTACTCTCCACTCCTCGCACGACCTCCTGCTCTGTAGCTCCATTGTCTCCTCCTCCCATGCTCGTCTCCAGGATTTCTCCAGAGCTTCCCCATCCTCTGGAACTCTCTGCCCCAATTTATCAGAGTATCACCTACTCTGCTCACTTTTAGGCGATCTCTGAAAACCTCTCTCTTCAGGGAAGCCTATCCTGCCTTCAGCTGATTATGGAATCTTCTACTCCTCCTACCACTCCATCCCCCACAGTTACTACCTTTTGTACCACCAGCCCCTCCTTCTTAGATTGTAAGCTCCCAGGATCAGGGCCCCCTCCTATCCCTCTTGTATTGAACTGTATTGTTGCTGTATTGTCTCCCTTTATATTGTAAAGAGCTGAGCAAACTGTTGGCGCCATAAATCCTGTATAATAATAATAAAGTCATGCAGAATTTTAGTAGTGAAAAGCATGCATCATGTTCAAAAAGGTAGTAACTGTGGGGGATGGACTGGTAGGAGGAGTAGAAGATAGTCTGTGATGAGGTCGGCCAATGAGGAGGGAGTTACAATAAATCACTCCAAATATTCCTAAATCTCCCTAGACACAAAAGTTCCACTTTCTCTCCCGAAAGTTCAAATGTATAACAATCTTTTAGCGTCTGTGATATATCCTAACAAAAAAATGATATACAGTGTACGTGCTCCCAGATTTAATCCACCTTCATGAAGATATTTCTTTTTAATCCGTGAAAACCTCAAAAAAAAGAAAACTCGATCTAGTGCACATTTGCGTGCAATTAATAAAAACATATGTGCTGAGAGCGCGCGCCCTGCACTCTCCCAGCACACATGTCTGGTACTCACGGAAAGTTCCCGATCTCCTCTTTCGATCGGGACCTTTCCCGATCATGCGACCGCCGTGACATGACCATAAAAACCCCGCCCCACCTACCGGCTTCTGAATCCCTTGAAGGGCCGGGAGGCGCCGGCACCAAGGGGTTAAATTACAAGCCGCAGTTGTTGAAAGACCAAAATATCTAAATATGAATGCGTGCAATACAACTGCGCTACTATTGGACCGTGTGCTAAATGTCAAATTCTAAATGAAAAGCTAAGTAAACACAAAGTGCAAAAATAACAAAGCATATAGTATCAATGCATACATATCAAAAACAATTCATATAAAATATTCCATGTGAAAAAAATGTTTTATCATATTCTATTGGAGTGAAAAAAAAATGTGCTCCCAGCACACGTCCGATACTCATGGAAAGGTGACGGCAAACCACGGCGGTCACATGACCCTAAAACCCCGCCCCGCCTCCCGGCTTTTGAAACCCTTAAAGAGCTGGGAGGTGCCGGCGCCAAGGGTTAAACACCCTTACCCTATTAAAACTTGTCTCTAGCTCTCAATGTCATATACTCCAAAAACCGTGCTCCAATCCGTCTTTTTCTTTCTTCAATATTTCCTCAAAGAAAACCAATGGTAGTGAAATATCCTTTTGGATACAAAAAGGTGCTTCCCTAACAGGGGCGAACTGACCATTGGGGAATTCGGGCCCCGTGAGATGTCCCTGGTACCTTTCATAGGCTTTTTGGGTGTGGTTTGAGTGTGGGTGAGGACACAGGGGCCCCATGATCCCCTATTGCCCAGGGGCCCCATGAGTTGTCAGTCCGCCCCTGTTCCCTAATATTCCCGGTACACGTGTAAATGTGAAATACACTCCCCGTCACCTTACACACCATGCACCTTACCAGATGAAACACTTTCTTGAGCGGAAAAGCTCTCGTCACCCGACCATCCCTGCTCAGTTCACTCTGCATGTGATAGCATAATGAGGGTCATAACAAAATCTTTATGGTGTAGTACTATATCTTATCGAAAGATTATTATACTGAATGTAAGAATTGCCGGCAATTAAAAAATAATTTTAAAAAACGGCGTGGGGGCGGGGTACCCCGCCTCCCATTCGTACCAAGCCCTTCGGGTCTGGTATGGATTTTGAGGGGAAGCCCCACGCCAAAATTAAAAAAAGAATGGTTAACAAAAGTCAGTATTGCTGCATTTGCATAACGCATTTATGCACGTTTTGCGTTTAGAAGCGTTTTAAAAGATAACCTTGAGGAGAAGCCCCACGCCAAAAATAAAAAAAAAAATGGCGTGGGGTTCCCCCCCCCCAAAATCCATACCAGACCCTTATCCGAGCATGTAGCCTGGCAGGTCAGATGCTCTCAACATGGGGGGGTGCTTTGGGGTAGGGGGAGCTCCCCCCCCAAAGCAGAGTAGGCGATAGTCTGATAAATTGGGGTAGAGAGTTCCAGAGGATGGGAGAAGCCCTGGAGAAGTCCTGGAGACGAGCATGGGAGGCAAGGGAGCTAGAGAGCAGGAGGTCTTGTGAGGAGTGGAGAGTACGGTTTGGGTGATATTTGGAGACAAGATCGGTGATGTTATTTGGGGCGGAGTTATAAATGGCTTTATACGTTATTGTTAATGTTTGAATTTTATCCGTTGGGCAATGGGAAGCCAGTGGAGGGATTGGCAGAGAGGGGTGGAGGCCAGTGGAGGGATTGGCAGAGAGGGGTGGAGGACACTGAATGGAGGGATTGGCAGAGAGGGGTGGAGGCCAGTGGAGGGATTGGCAGAGAGGGGTGGAGGACACTGAATGGAGGGATTGGCAGAGAGGGGTGGAGGACACTGAGTGGAGGTCAGTGGAGAGATTGGCAGAGAGGGGTGGAGGACACTGAGTGGAGGTCAGTGGAGGGATTGGCAGAGAGGGGTGGAGGACACTGAGTGGAGGTCAGTGGAGGGATTGGCAGAGAAGGGTGGAGGACACTGAGTGGAGGTCAGTGGAGGGATTGGCAGAGAGGGGTGGCAGATACAGAACGGTTAGTAAGGTGGATGAGTCTGGCAGCAGCATTCTTGATAGACCGAAGAGGGGATAGTCTGTGATGAGGTCGGCCAATGAGGAGGGAGTTACAATAATCACTCCAAATATTCCTAAATCTCCCTAGACACAAAAGTTCCACTTTCTCTCCCGAAAGTTCAAATGTATAACAATCTTTTAGCGTCTGTGATATCCTAACAAAAAAATGATATACAGTGTACGTGCTCCCAGATTTAATCCACCTTCATGAAGATATTTCTTTTAATCCGTGAAAACCTCAAAAAAAGAAAACTCGATCTAGTGCACATTTGCGTGCAATTAATAAAAACATATGTGCTGAGAGCGCGCGCCCTGCACTCTCCCAGCACACATGTCTGGTACTCACGGAAAGTTCCCGATCTCCTCTTTCGATCGGGACCTTTCCCGATCATGCGACCGCCGTGACATGACCATAAAACCCCGCCCCACCTACCGGCTTCTGAATCCCTTGAAGGGCCGGGAGGCGCCGGCACCAAGGGGTTAAATTACAAGCCGCAGTTGTTGAAAGACCAAATATCTAAATATGAATGTGTGCAATACAACTGCGCTACTATTGGACCGTGTGCTAAATGTCAAATTCTAAATGAAAAGCTAAGTAAACACAAAGTGCAAAAATAACAAAGCATATAGTATCAATGCATACATATCAAAAACAATTCATATAAAATATTCCATGTGAAAAAAATGTTTATCATATTCTATTGGAGTGAAAAAAAATGTGCTCCCAGCACACGTCCGATACTCATGGAAAGGTGACGGCAAACCACGGCGGTCACATGACCCTAAAACCCCGCCCCGCCTCCCGGCTTTTGAAACCCTTAAAGAGCTGGGAGGTGCCGGCGCCAAGGGGTTAAACACCCTTACCCTATTAAAACTTGTCTCTAGCTCTCAATGTCATATACTCCAAAAACCGTGCTCCAATCCGTCTTTTTCTTTCTTCAATATTTCCTCAAAGAAAACCAATGGTAGTGAAATATCCTTTTGGATACAAAAAGGTGCTTCCCTAACAGGGGCGAACTGACCATTGGGGAATTCGGGCCCCGTGAGATGTCCCTGGTACCTTTCATAGGCTTTTTGGGTGTGGTTTGAGTGTGGGTGAGGACACAGGGGCCCCATGATCCCCTATTGCCCAGGGGCCCCATGAGTTGTCAGTCCGCCCCTGTTCCCTAATATTCCCGGTACACGTGTAAATGTGAAATACACTCCCCGTCACCTTACACACCATGCACCTTACCAGATGAAACACTTTCTTGAGCGGAAAAGCTCTCGTCACCCGACCATCCCTGCTCAGTTCACTCTGCATGTGATAGCATAATGAGGGTCATAACAAAATCTTTATGGTGTAGTACTATATCTTATCGAAAGATTATTATACTGAATGTAAGAATTGCCGGCAATTAAAAAATAATTTTTAAAAAACGGCGTGGGGGCGGGGTACCCCGCCTCCCATTCGTACCAAGCCCTTCGGGTCTGGTATGGATTTTGAGGGGAAGCCCCACGCCAAAATTAAAAAAAGAATGGTTAACAAAAGTCAGTATTGCTGCATTTGCATAACGCATTTATGCACGTTTTGCGTTTAGAAGCGTTTTAAAAGATAACCTTGAGGAGAAGCCCCACGCCAAAAATAAAAAAAAAATGGCGTGGGGTTCCCCCCCCCCAAAATCCATACCAGACCCTTATCCGAGCATGTAGCCTGGCAGGTCAGATGCTCTCAACATGGGGGGGTGCTTTGGGGTAGGGGGAGCTCCCCCCCCCAAAGCACCTTGTCCCATGTTGATGGGGACAAGGGCCTCTTCCCCACAACCCTGCGCTGTGGTTGTGGGAGGCTGCAGGCAGGGGACTTATTGGAATCTAGAAGCCCCCTTTATTAAGGGGGCCCCCAGATCCTGCCCCGCCCCCCCAAAATCAATGTATAGGGGTACATGGTACCACTACCAATTCACAAAAAAAAAAAGCTGTAGTGTGAAAAAAAACAGGAGTCATTCTTTGACAAGTCCATTAATAAAAGAATGTCCCCTAAAGTAACTCCAACGTCAATCACAATGCCCGCCGCCGCTCCGGAGAAAAAAAAAGGCTCTGCTTCCGATGCTGTCCTCCGGCCATCTGCCTCTGACCTGGTTTGACAGTTCTTAAATATGTAAGGGGTGTGGCCATCACATATGGGACCCCGCCCCCATGTGATGTCAGTGACCAGCATGCCCTGGTCAATGATGGCACATGGGGGCGGGGGTCATATGGGTGATGTCAACGGGTGGCCCCGCCCCTCACATATTTAAGAACTGTCAAACCAGGTGTAAGCATGTTGCTTTGTATTGCTCTGCTATGCAGAACAAAACAAAGCAGCATGCTGGTGCTGACAGGGGAGACATCTGTATTGTTTACATATAGACCTCTCTCCTGTCAGTGTTCTTTGGCGATCACCAGGTGCCAGAGGGGAATCCCTGGCCGGGACCCGATGATTGACACTTCTAGCCACCAATGGTGGCGCTGGCAGGGTGGCGTGCGCGTGCACCCTCTATCCGGAAATACAAAATCACAAACAATTTTTTAAATTGTGCAACTTCAAATCGCACTGATTAAGAACGTGCCATATAAATACATTGAATACAACTTCAGGTGTGATTTGCAAATCACATGCCACACTTCACCAGTGTGAACCAGGGCTGAGACTGTACAGTATTTACTCAGAAAAAAAAAATTCAGTCAGTCTTAGGCCCCATGTACACGGGACACTGTTGAACGATGGAAACTGACTGCTGGAAAACGTAGGTTAAAAAAACGTCTGTTTAGCCGCGTTTGCATAACGCGTTTATGTGCGTTTGCGTTTAGAAGAGTTTTTTGAAGATAAGCACAGGAGAACCTCCCAAATGCCCAGAATGCACTGAAAAGTGGTACATTATTAACTATTTCAGACTGTTTCAGAGAAATACAGAGAGTAGAAGCAGAGACAGCAGTATGTGTTGAGATTAGCTTAGGTGTGAGTTGCTCGTTAACATTTCTTTTGTTTCCAAGGGTGGGAAAGGTGTCTGGTGGAGGGAGTCATTAAGGCCACCTGGCAGGGGGTCTTCATGAGGTATTTGATGTGTGAATGGTCATTAACATATCTTTTGTTTCCAAGGGTGGGGGTGAATTGGTCATTACAATGTGTGACAAGCTTGGTAGGAGCATCCTGTGTTTAGTGTTTTGTCCATGTGAGCACCTTGAAAATGCTTTGCATGCATGTTTCATGATGAAAAAAGGCTCTGGACAGCATCGGGAACTGGAAGATTTTAAAAAAAATTGCCGCATTTACAAGCGATTACAAGTGTTTGGCATTTGAAACGCTGATAAAATCAACTGCTGAATGCAAGTTTTCTGCGTTAAAAAAAAGACTGTAAACTCAAATGCCTGTAAATGCCTGTAAATGACGATGTGTACATGGACACATAGGAAAACATTAGGGAGAGTTCAGGGGCTGCTGAAAAAAATGGCTGAACAGCTCCTAATTGTGAGTTTATCAGCTGCAGTGTACATGAGCCCTAAAGATCATGGGATCCCACGTTCCCCATCTGGTGCAGCGCTGCTCAATCAATTCCAGCGCATGTATATAAAAGAAACGCGCACAAATAAATCTGCAACAAGAATGCTCAATCAATCAATACATACATTCAAAAACACCAAGGTATTGTGTCCATAAATTACATCAACTTAACCCCCTGACCCCCGAAGGTTTTACCCCCTTCATGACCAGGGCATTTTTTTTTCTATTCGGCACTGCACTACTCTAACTGGCAATTGCACAGTTATTCAACCCTCTACCTGCATGAAATTTATATAATTTTTTCACACAAACAAAGCTTTCTTTTTTTGTGTATTTGATCACCACTGGGTTTTTAGGTTTTTATTATATAAAATAAAAATAAACTCAACCATCCACCAATCAGAGTGAAGTGAAATGAGCCTGGCCCCGCCCCAGTTTGTAATGTTTCTTTTTACAATGATTTGAATGCATTATTGGAGGGAACATGACATCATGGGGCGGGGACAGCCTCATTTCACTTCACTCTGATTGGTGGATGGTTTTCTTAAATTGTTCTCCAGTTTCTGTCACAATTGGTCACATGCCTGATGAAGGGGTCCTGCAAGACGCCTAAACGTTGCCTAGCTGTAACTATGTGATCGTTCATTAAAACTTTTGGACACATATTGGTGACCCTCGGTGTGCTGGTGACATCCTCCCTTGTAGTCCACTCATTCACAGCATTCTGCCATTAAATGATGCAACCGTGTGGGCGGAGCCCCACGCTGTTTTTGAAAAGTTCTCCCCGTACTTCTGTCAGAGGGGGGGGGGGCAGCAGGATTGGGAATATGTTACATGTTCCACCCTAAAAATGGGTGGAACATGTAGCATGTTCCCAAAGGTGAACTTATCCTGTAAAACAGAGTTCCACCCAAAAGTGGAAGCTCCACTTTTCTGCCTCCCCCTTCCCTCCTCCGCTGCCACATTTGGCACATTTTGGGGAGGAGGTACCTGGTTTTGTCAGGTACCTGCTCCCACAAATGAGCTCTAAGTTCAGAACACCCCCCTGCAGCGCTCTGGGACACTTTCAAGGTCCCAGATAACTGCAGCCCATTCATGCACAGTAGGAAACCTGCTGTTTCCCTTAGTCAAGATGGCGGCACCAGCACCTGACAGCTGATTGAAGTGAGGACATTCATGCGCAGTAGGAAACTTGCTGTTTCCCTGAGTCAAGATGGCAGCACCAGAACCTGACAGCCGATTGAAGAACAGGCTTTGGGTGAGGACATTCGTTCGCAGTAGGAAACTCGCTGTTTCCCTTAGTCAAGATGGCGGCGCCAGCACCTGACAACTGATTGAAGAATTGGCTCAGGGTGAGGACACCGCCGGATGCCTGGACAGGTGAGTGACCTAATATTAAAAGTTGGCAGCCACAGTATTTGTATTTGACTTTGAACTTTTTCGGGGAGGTGGCAGGGGCCGGAGCTCTGCTTTAACTTTTACTTTTGTTTACCTTCCTTGTAATATTGCTGTGGTGTTATCCTTTCTCT